GAGCTCCCACATGGAGTGGCCAGGCTGGATGCGAGCTTCATTGCAGCCAACCCGAGCTCGCATCCACCAACCTGCGAGGTGTTAGAGTGTGAGAAAAAGAGAAAGAGTGCAGCTCCTGGACTAGGTTCGTCAAGTCAGCACAAGTGGAGATCAAAGCATTGTGAAGCTTCTTCAAAAACGGCTCAACATCAACCTGAACTCTGTCCCAACCCATGGCGACAGCGCTGGTGTCCTCTTGTCTGCTTATGGCATCACTGATGTTCTGGTCAGATCGCACATACTGGAAATGGGGATGTATTCGGTGATAGGCCATCATTGCCCAAAAAGCGCTGACAATGAGGTTCACCTTCGGGTCCTTGCCATAACCCTTCTGGAGCGCGCACCGGCCGCTCTGGTTGTCGATGTACACTGTCAGGAAGCGAGGCAGACGCCAGCGCATGAAAGTCACTGCGATCAGCACTGCCAAAACTTCAAGCATGTAGATGTATGCTTTTCTAGTGGTGAACTGCGAAACAAACCAGTTGGGGATAGTTCCAAAACCAAACCAACACCCTGCGGGGGTATGAAGCACAAACCCCCAACCGTTGCTCGAAGCCCGTGTCCTTTGCGGGGACCAATTTCTTGGAATGTGATCAGCACCGACTTTGAAACAGGAGCTGCCCAAAACAAAGAAAGCATCCGTGTAAAGCACTGCGCGCTGAGAGTCACTATCCACAAACGGTATCTCGCGTGGTCTGGCATCGCGCAAGATGAAAAGCAGTGTGATCATTGCTTGGCGCAGGCCATGAGTGAGCTTGTCGTTCACCTTTTCTCCCAGTCCGTGGCCTCTTGCGTAGAGAGGAAGTAGCGCTGCTCGTCCGACAGCACCGAACAGAGTTGTGGTCAGGAATGCCATTTTACCTGCCAGCTGCTGCGCATCATGCGGAGTGAGGGGGTTCTTGTCCAGCGCAGATTGCAGGGCGCACTCAACCTTGCATCTTCGGTCAGGGCAAGCAGCGACTTCTATGTGAGTGTCTGCGATGGAGAGGACAACTCCCAGGACTCGTTGAGAAGCTGCTGGAAGCTGTTCCTTAGATGGCTTCATGTCCAAACCAAGTGCACTGGAAAGGTCTTTGAAGGCCTGACATCCTGCGAGGGCCACATCAGGAAGATCGACCCCCGTGAAATCATCGACGAAATGACCTAGAGGCAGCATCAAGAGTCGTCGAGACAAGGCGACCAACGCATCAGCAAAACGGTTGAAAGCCCAGACTGCTGCAGCGGCTCCAAAGGGCGCCGCTGTGTGGCGCCAAAGGGTCACCCCGGTGTCGACAACCAACAAAGTGTAACAGTATGCATCTGGCCTGACCGGTAGCTGGCGATAGGCCGCATCTAGGTCTTGCCCCCAGATCAAAGGGGTGCCTGAGTCATACCTTTTGAGCCTCTGAAGCAGTCGAACATAAAGATCCAGGTCGTGGTGATGAGGACAATCATCCACAGAGATGGTGGAATTGTGAGAAGACCTTCGAAAATCCTCACATCGTCGAATCTTGTCTGCCTGTTCCACAGCAAAACATAAGGCAGGGTAGACTTCACTGGTAGGCGTCGGAGTGCAGGGGTGCCCGTCGACGCCTACTGTCTGTATCCCCCAAGATGCAGGCGCCGAGAAAGGTCCTTGGACACGACCCTTGGCCTTGTCACGAAGAAGCTCATCAAGCATGGTTTTCCAGTGTGGGCTGTGTTTGGGTTGGCGGAGTTTCTCCTTCACGTAGGCCCTGTTGAGCTCATGGAATTGAGACATGGAGATGGGATGTGAGTATCGCCCATCCCTGCGAGGTAGCCAGCCGCTACCGGAGTGGAGCTGCCCAACCATTGGAAAGCCACATGTGAGGTCCTCCTCCAACTCATCAACGCCTTCGAAGCCACAAATTCTCAGGAGGTGAATGAGAAGTGGCACTTGGGTCACCAACTTTGTGCCATTCGCTGAGTACACTCCTTGGATTTCTGGGGGGAGTTGTCTGAACCAGTGTTGTGTCGTTGGCTGCCAAGCGTCGACCATGCATCTCACTTCCCCCACCACTTCTTGGCGGAGTAGTTGCAAGTCTTGCCAGTGGGCGTGATGCCTGCAAAGCGTCGCTTCCAATCCTGGCTCAAGCTTGCCGGCTGTCTGAGCTGGGTGGGGTGTATGTAAAGCAGTGGTCCAGTGCTCCATCATCGTGGTGGCTGGGTGGAAGGCTGTGCCTGGACTAGGCCACTGCCCGGGGCCGACAACCGCCATGGCGGGACAGCCCAGTGACAAAACCTGGTGGATAGCGGAGCTGCCGGTCAGCATGCCTGCCGCTGGGTGGGCGTGAACTGGCTGCACCTGCAGGACCAAAGCCATGATAAAAGCTCCAACAAGAACGTGCCAACTGTTTGCTAGCGTACGGTGACGCGCCTTGTTGGTCACCTTAGAAACCCTGGTATAGTGTGCTGGATAGCTGTGCAGCTGTTCCTTCAACAAGGCTGGCATGGGAACAAGCTGGTCGTTGCGCAAGGCCATGGCGTGCTCGGCATACTGCCATGGAGCGTATTGCCTGTTGTGTTGGAGCCATCGCTGTCTGGTGTCATGGTCCACGCGACCATGACTGTGTTTGGGCGGAGCCCTGCCATGCTCATCAGGGGCTGGTGTGGTGAGGCAAGGCACGCGCCTGCGATGCTGGAGTACATCTGTGTGCAGGGCATGACCATCCATGTCCCAGTGAGTTGTGTCAGTGGCAGGCAAACCCAGGCGCAATCGCCTGTGCTGGTTGTGTTGTGTCCACTGGAGGGGCTGGCCAGTGAAAGGGTGCATTTTTGCTTTAGACCAATCCACTCGGGTCCACCACAGCCTGGGCCTGGAGATCAGGCCGGCGTCGGCCGCGTCGATCAAGACAGGTTGAGATTGCAGCGCTTCACTAAAGTATTTGGTGTCTGAATCATCTGCCATGACGACATTCTCAGCCAACAAGAAAAAGGTGTGTCTTCCCAACGCTGCTTCTAAACCCTGAAGTATTTTGCAAAACGAAGAGAATTTGGAGCCCTCTTCGCCCAGACGTCCCTCTTTCCTGTTCTGGACTTGGGAAAAATCCGGGCAAGGTGCACCGCTTGTAACCAAAATGAACAGGCTGTCCGCGGCAGCCTCATCATTGATGAGCTCAGCCAGCTCGGTGTAGTCATCTTTCAGCGCATCTCCTCTGTGGCGCACGAACGGTGTTCTGACCTTGCTGACTGCGACGCAGTCCGCATCAACCTCCCACGCAAATGCCAGCCGGGGTGTGCCAACCAACTGTTGGACAATCCACGGCGCCGTTCCAATGCCATCAAAAAAGGACAAAATGACCAATCTGCTTGCTGGGACGGGGCAATGGAAATTGACCAAAAGGTTTGAAATGGTAGGGTCGGGTACCAGAGGCTCGGGGTCTCTGGCCCCGAGCTGTCCCTAGCGGGCGGGCGCGGAGTCGTTCGACTCCTGGCTGTCTCTGGACGCTGCCTGGCGGCGGTCATGCCACTGGCTCCACCTCTGTGCGTTCTGCCATGAGTGGGGCTGCCATTGTCGACGGTCTCGGTCATAACGACCCTTGGAATCACCTTTACCTCGATGCCTGTCATGGAATTGGTGGCGGCGGGGTTGAGGGTGGTATCGGATGGCGTTGTCATCGACGCTCTGGGAAAGCTTCCGTTTCAATGGGGGCCTGGGGTCTTTCGGGGTGTCCTTAGACATGTAATCACAAAACAAGTCCACATCACTCATCACTGCTGCCGAGGGTTCCCCAAATGTCTTGCCAGCACGCATTCCCATGCAAATCCGCCAAGAAGCGGCTTCCCAATAGGCCTTGAGCTGTTCCAACTTGGCAGGCCGAGCTCTTGCCTTGGCAATGCACCAATCGCACCAAGCATGCACGTGATCTTCTTCACCTATTTGAAGCAAAACATATGCCCACCGAACGGAATTGACCCCGTCCATAATGGCTAGAATAGACCTCGGTTGCCACACCTTCTCATCTTCCTGCACCACCAGGTTGTCCTCTACAGTCAAGTAGTTGGCCTTCTTTGGGGATTTTGCCAAGGGATTGATCTCTCCGCTGGCCTGAAAACTCCGTTAGATGATCTCGCCTAAGAGAACTGGGCTGTACTGACGAGAGACCACGTGCTCATGGTGTATCCTTGCCAGGATACTCTCCGCTCCTAGCAGCTCTTGCTCAGGGAATTTCCTAGGCCGCCCCCCAATAGTGATGGAGTTGTAGTGAGTAACCTGCTGGTTCCAAACTTGAGGCGGCAAGGTCTTGGGGATCTTGTCACTCATGGCAGCAGAAGAAGGCGCGCTCAGGGCGGGCAGCACTGCCGGCGCAGCTGGAACAGCCAGGCCAGTGGCCTGTCTGGCTGTCCACCAAATCCTGGCCTCTGCCCACATGTGCAGAAGGACTGCTTGAGCAATAGGTTTCTCTTCCTCAGTCAATTGGATGTCTATGGATCCTTTCTTGAAGCCTTCCAAGAGCGGGCGCACCAAGCTATGTTCTGCCGCCTGCTCAGTTGTGGCCAGCAAGGCTAGGGTTGCGACAGCTTTAATGCCACGAGCCTCCAAGTAGTCTGCGATTTCACTGCCCGCTCCAGCCATGGCTGCCAGCTCAGCCATGGTCATGGGCGCGCTGCTCGAAGATGAGGTCACCATCTCACCAGGTGACTGTTGAGCCCGACCGGCGCTGTGTCAGTGACCCAATTCCAGAAGTCCTCCGAATGATAGCAAAACATGTAGAGTGGGCATGAAAGAAAAAGAGAAAGACGCAAAACAAAACATGAGGCTGCCCATTCTCGACATCTTCTAAAAACAACACATTCCCACAAGGTTCACCAGTCTGCACTGTCCAATGAAAGGTTCTGTTTCGCAAAGTGAATTGTCACCTCCAGGAATCAACGACCGGTCGAGAAAAAAAACGACGGAACACTACCGCTGAGCAACACAATCCATCAAGTGAGATCCAAACCACACAACACAGTTGTGCGTGAGAGTGTGATTTCGAAAACATCAATCCAGCACAATGGGCCACACACCTATACTCTTTTACTCAGAACTGCTGCTAGAACAGTCCGGATGTGAATCGGAGTGGTCAGCGTGATCTGAAGCTAACTCCTCCTGGTTAGTGTCGTCTTGGCCGGCTTCTGATCTGAAACACCTTCGGCATTTGCGGAAGTTCCCTGAGATGCTAGACAATCTAAAAAAGGATGAGAATGCGTATGGCCACCCGCATCTAGTCTTCCAAGTGGCAGGCCTGTTGGCACGCTCGTCAGCATCACCTTGGTGAACTATCACTGACCCCCGTCGGTGCAGGTATACTGTATCCTGCTCTACCAGAGATCCTTTCAAAATTGACAATTCACCCTTGACTGCCTCAAGTTCCTGCCGGATCTTGCTGGGCTCGTCTGAACCGAGAATCTCTGCCCCAACCGCAAGGCATGAAGCCGACACCTGCTGGTCAGCACACCGGAGAGCTGTTGCTGGGTCGACAGCTGGCTCGGCATTCAGCAGCCGAGGTGCCAGTGAGGGAAGTGTCTGTAATGGAGCCAACTGTATGTAGCGCTCAACCGAGTGGCTGGACCACCTTCCCAGAAGCTGGATCTGAGGAACCGTTGCTCCAGCACGGGACAGCATCTGGGCCCCACTAACCCTCATTACATGCCCGTGAAAGCGCTGAACAGGTTGTCCAGCTTCATCATGTCGAACGGTAGAAATGTTGGCCGAGGCAATCGTGTTGCGGAACATCTCAATGGTCTGGGATTTCGTCAACACTTCACCAGACGATGTCGGCACCAAAGGAAATTGAGCTTGACGGTGGTTTCTGGGGTGCAAAGCTAAACGCTGCAAATGGCGCAAGGCAGCATGCACCGGACACAGAGGTTGACTCCTCACCCGACAAGCGCACTTCAGAGACCTGATGGTCAAGCTACCCACCTGGTCGGTCTTATCGAGTGGGATCAGCATGTTGACGACAGAACCAGTAATGTACAAATGCGAATGACAGGCACCAGCTACTTCAATCTCCCGTAGCATGAACCAGGACGCCAGCAGGCAGACGTCGCGGCTGTGAGAAACATTGGTCACGTCAAAGGGCTCATGCGATGCGGGGATCGACAGCTGCGTCAGCGAGTGAACATCAAAGGAGTCCTTGAGCTGAGATGGCCCCATGCCTCGTGTAATTGAACGATCAAAGTCTCGGGCAACTTGTTTCAAGTACGGGTCAACTACCGCCAAACGGCGCTGTTGGTGACCGAAAATGGTGTGAAAGTACAAAGAAGACGATCTGTAGCCTCCCGCTTTCAGGGAAGCTGCGAAGCACCGGAGAGAATCATAGCTGATTGGGAAGTCTGTCACTGCCCAAGCCTTGCAAATTTCTTGGTACGTGCGCACTCTTGAGTCAGCTGCAGCCGCTGTGGTTGGTGCCAAAATAGATTCGTCCAAGGCTGCCAAGGCTTGCTGACGATGGCTGGGGCCGGCCGCCTGCAGGGCCAGCTGCATAGATGCCCTCTTCTTGGGGCGGCTTACAGGAAGGTCCCACCGCCTTCGAGCCGGTTGGTCACCCACTGCATTGGAGACAGTCCCACGGATAAGGAGCTCTAACTGCCATTGGCTGACGCCCTTAGTCAACAAGTGGCCGCTTTGGCTGACCACATCATCAGGGGACCGAACACCATGTCGAAGCAATACCGGCGCAAGTTGTTGCAGGCCGGTCTCCCGTAACAAGTCCCACAAGGGGGCTAAGGATCTACGTTCCTGGGCCATCACATCTCTCGGAAAATCATGCAGGGCGATGAGCCCACATGGTGTGACTGCAATGCATTGAAAACAACCTCAGTTGACCGTCGGGAAACACAGAAAACCACAAGTGCAAAATTGAAACAAATTAGCGAGGGTGTACGCCAGTGGACTCCTCGCGAGAAGCGGGGAAGTGGGGAAACAAGTCAAAAGCAATCAAGGCAGACGCAAAATGAGCAGCTCATCGTTAAAACAAAAGTTGTCAAATACTGAAGCGTCGACACTGCAAAATGACATGCAAAACTGCTGTTAATCCAAAAAGAGAATATTGAATGATACTCTATACTTGCAAACGCCGAGCGAGTCAATCGTCCTCAAAACGACATGAACTGCACAACGCGGACATACCTGCGCGCCGCCTATACAGGGCACTTTTGTAGTTCCTCTCTCGGCCCCATCGTCAGACGGGAGCGCCGAGACATTGCCAGCTCGTGGTCAATGCCCAGCTCAATTGATGAGTTGCCAAGCCAAAGTAAAACTCATGACTTGTAAAGACCTAGTGGGTTGTGAGTTTGGTCCTTGTGGCCTCTGCTTTGTTTCTGCGACCCGCATAAACTCAAAGCCGGTCGAATCAGCGTACTCAGCAAAATGATGCAAATTAACTCGAGTGAGGGTGGTGAACAACCCTAGCCCCAAAAAGCCAAAAGAATTGACCCCCCAAAAAAAAAACATATATCTGCAGGCTTTCCTGTTCAATGCGGTCAAACGTGCGTGAGCACGGCCATCAGCGCAACCATCGCCAGGGCGCAGCAGCAAGATTTGTTCGAGCTCTCCCAGCGCAACCCTTGTCAGGCACGGCAACGAGATTTGTCTGTGCACTCCCAGCGCAACCGTTGCCAGGCACGGCAACGAGATTTGCTCGAGCACTCCCAGCGCAACCATTGCGAGTCACGGCAACGATATTTGTTCGTCCTAGCGCTACCATTGCGAGGCACGGCAACGAGATTTGTTCGAGTTCTCCACAGCGCAACCATTG